ACTAGCTATAAGTCTGTTGCTGTTGCTCTATAGAATATATGATTGCTCTGCAACTTAGTACTAGTAGCTGTTAAGACTTTTAGTATGGAAATGTGTTCTCTTCCAGTTAATTTTCCACAGTGAATCTACTAGAACAGTTATCTCCGTTTTACATTTTACCAATATTTTGATCCTGTTTGGTGATCCACCTAATAATTTTACACTGTAGCTTCGTTCGGTGGAATTTTACCAATATTACTGTAGCTTCGTTCTATTTAATATTTTTTATCGTTGCTAGCTTGAATCAGTAAACTGAAACTTTACACTATGCGCGTCATACTGAATTAGTACACTGAAACTGAACACAGAACTACATAAATTTGAGTCATTGTGTGCAAGAACAGAGTAATTGTTTGGTTCAGACTTCAGAACATTTATCAACATGGCAAGTTCGAATGATGAAATGCTTAAGTAGCAGTGGAAATATTCATCGTGCTGCGCTGCACCTCGTGCTAATCTAGTGTCATGATTTGCTTTGTGCATATTCAGGCAAATGGCAGCGTAGCAAATATGTCGGCGTTTCCTTGGTTGGAAAGACAATAGCTATTATGGGCTTCGGGAAGGTTGGTTCAGAGGTTGCTCGACGCGTGAAAGGACTTGGAATGGATGTCATTGCTCATGACCCATATGCCCCCGTCGATAGAGCCCGAGCTATCGGTGTAGATCTCGTATCATTCGATGACGCCATCTCCACTGCAGACTTCATATCACTGCATATGCCTCTAACACCATCAACAACAAAAATTTTCAACGACGAGACTTTTGCAAAAATGACGAAAGGAGTAAGGCTTATCAATGTTGCGAGGGGTGGAGTGGTTGATGAAGAAGCATTGCTGAGAGCACTTGATAATGGGACTGTTGCACAGGTAGTCTTTTTTTGTCATGTCCATTGATCCAAATGTTGATAGTGCATATTGCTGTCAAACAGTTGTCATGACTCATCTAGTTATGCCATTATCTTGGGTATTGTGTATTATTTAGCATAGACAGTACACATTTCTTTTCTTTTCTTGTTTCAAAATGTTTCCATTGGCCTTTTTCTCATTGCTTCGCGATGTCTGTCAGGCAGCACTCGACGTGTTCTTTGAAGAGCCACCGCCGAAAGACAGCAAGTTAGTACACCATGAAAATGTCACAGTGACACCGCACCTTGGAGCTAGCACAACAGAAGCACAGGTTTGCTGTTTGTTTTGCAACAATCTCTGTACTGCATCTTACGAGCTTATCCTCTTAACTTTGCCCGTGTTTGTCGACAGGAAGGAGTTGCCCTTGAAATCGCACAGGCTGTTATCGGTGCACTGAAAGGTGAACTGGCTGCCACTGCTGTCAATGCCCCAATGGTCTCTGCTGAGGTACTCCCATTGCCAAGGACTATGCTTTTGTACTTACAGCATAATGCACACTCTGCTTCAGTTTGAACAGTTCATCTGTTCCGACAGATTTTAGCCGAGTTATCCCCATATGTCATCCTTGCTGAGAAGCTGGGACGTCTTGCCGTGCAACTCGTGGCTGGTGGCAGTGGGATCAAGGCAGTCAAGGTCGTTTACTCATCGGCTAGAGACCCGGATGACTTGGACACAGGAATTCTCCGCGCCATGGTCACGAAAGGCATCGTCGAACCCATTTCAAGTGCATTTGTCAACATTGTCAATGCTGACTACGTCGCCAAGCAACGAGGGCTCCGCATAATCGAGGAGCAGATTCTCCTCGACGGCTCCCCTGAGGTCCCTATAAACTCCATCCAGGTCCAGCTTGCCAATGTGGAGTCCAAGTTCGCCGGCGCGCTGTCCGACGACGGTGACATCAGGGTGGAGGGGAAGGTTAAGGATGGCACGCCGCATCTCACGCTCGTCGGCCCTTTCAGCGTCGACGTCAGCCTTGAGGGCAACTTGTTGCTGTGCCGGCAGGTCGACCAGCCGGGCATCATCGGCAAGGTGGGATCGATTCTCGGGACGATGAACCTGAATGTCAACTTTATGAGCGTTGGCAGGATTGCTCCAGGGAAGCAGGCCATCATGGCCATTGGGATTGATGAGGAGCCTGATAAGGAAGCTCTCAAGTTGATCGGGGAGACGCCCTCGGTACAGGAGTTTGTCTTTCTAAAGCTTTAGAGAATGTATAGGTTGATTGATTTCTATATAACATCTCCTGCTTTACTAGTATGGGTGGTTTTTGCAAGCTTATTTAGTTTCTATGTAGAATTGTAATTTTCAGCCCACCTGGAGAAGCTGCTGGTAGATACATCTTACGAACAAATGCGCGGAATGTGAGGCCTGTTCTTGGGCCTGGTGTCCTACTTTTTGAATCGATGATCCTACTGTTGCTGCTAGCTCGTATGATCTCTGTTTTGCTATGCCTTCAGAACTTTTTGGATAGACATATCATCCACAAAAGTAATTTATGGCTTCAAATTTCTCTGGATGCTGAACCGAAGACCACGGTTCTGAAACAAATTGCTTGATCTGATAATCAACTGTAAGTAGGCTCAGTTTCATCCTATTTAGCCAGCATGTTTCGCATTTGTGGTGTAGTTAAATGAGACATCACTGCATTCGTGTTTCAGCGTTCTCGCTGATAACATTCTCCCAATCACGACGACATCGTTAATAACAAAAAAGGGAAAATTGTAACAATTAGTAGAGGTGAAGAGTGTTGTCAGTCTATTCAAAGTTGGATCTCCTCAGAACCTGAAACACATTCGGCTCTTGGGAGTGTCTAATAGCAGTGAATGATTTTGGGTTTGCGACTGGTCACATTCACCCTAACTCTCCCCTCTCTAGCCTTATTTTCCTAGTGTCTGTTGGGGGAGCCCTAGTTAGCTCTCTCTCTCTCTCTCTCTCAGCTGGACGGAGGTAGAAGAAAGAGAAGAACACAATGAAGATTTTCCGGCGACGAACGCCCGGCTGCACGTACAACCTTTTACTACCAGTGCTCAGACTTTTCTCAGCAAGTATATGTTCGCGTCCGCGGCTTTGTAGTCCTACAGCTACGCAGCGCCTGCGTCTCCTGTGCATACACGCACGTAGCGGAGCGAGCGATCCGCCCGGCCAGCGCGCACGAACGCGCACAGCGCTGCCTACTACGAGCACATACACATACAACTGCTACAAGTAGACACACTACACACGCACGCACACCGCTGTGACCCAACCCGCGGACCCGACCTAGCGCACCGACGCCGGTCGCACCCCCTTGGACACGACCGACGAAAAAAATTAAGGTGTGGTGAACTATCAGCTTAAAAAAATTGATGCAAAAATATAAAAGTCAATTCACACTGCACAGAAGCTCTCAATCGCGTCTAGAAGGCGCATGCAATGGCAGTGCCCAATCCTCCTTCTGGCTTGGTTGGGGCCTTCGGTTTTAGATATTAGGTTTTGGTGTGATGTCTGTTTGGTATTCTGCTCGAACAATCGACACCCCTTCATCAAGTGGATAGGAGTAGCGACGGATGTTGTCAAGATAGTGACTTCAGACTACTTGATGTATTACTTTATAAGATCTTGTTAAACGGAACACCGGGTCGCATCGTGTTGGCAGTGGAGTCCGCGATACGTTGGCACGGCTCATGTACTCTTGTATATAAATCAAGGAAAAACCCCAAAAAATGCAAGTTGCACGCATCAACAAAATTATCTCCATTCTGTTTTGCCGCCAAGTTACGAGAGTTCCAAGGGCGAGTCGTCAAGAGAATCGATCCGATCATTGTGCAGCGGAAGGGAGCTGGTTCATGTACGTCTACACGGTGAGATGAGCATGTGCTAGGCAGCACGTCAATCAAGCTGCCGCCTGCTTGTGTACTTCCATCTAGCTTTGCTTGGGTGAATCGATCTAGTGTGATCTAAAACCAACAAGCAATATATGCTTAGGTATTCTCACACAAAGAAAAAGTGTATGCTTACGTATAAAAAAAAGTTTGGTGCCGAATCAAGGTGTAACGGCCGTCACACCTTGCCCACTAGGCTCCTCCGCCTGCTCCGTCACGACTTTCTCCCCCCACCAGGGACAACTAACCCTAATTTTTTGCGGAAAACGTTTGTTTTCATCCGGATGAAAACAAACAAACGTAAGCCGCGCGCTGTGCTGGACACGTGTCTTGTGGGCCCATCCACCGCTCTCCAGCCGGCCTTATCTCTTCGAACCCAATCTTCTCCACACGTTCTCCTGCATTGCTTTTCCCCTTTCCCCCATCTCTGTGTCGTCACACGCGAGAAAGGAGATAGGCTCCCATGGCGGACGCCGGCAACCCTGCCCAGGTGCGGCGAACCAGGAGGCG